GACTACCTACTGCCAGTGGACTTGCATCTATGGAACTTGTTACCCATCGAGCGGTTGGGATAGAACAAAATAACATCAGGTGTAGGAAGCGATCGCCTACAGGCTTAACTCTAAACTTTTCTCTAGACTGTCGAACACAGAGTCTTGGTTTAGCCAAAGTCAGAACAAGTAAGCTATTTGGCTTGATAAACTTTATCTGTTTCTAAAACATAAATTAACACCGTTAGTATACAAAATAAACAGTACAGTCCATTAACACAGGGAAAACAGAGACATAATAACATACCGAACAGTAACTAGAGTTTAGGAAAAATGAGTCAGCAAGGCGAATATTGTTTTATAATGAACATAAAATTATGATTGGTGAATAAACAAGATATAGTCGTTCAAGGTCAAGGAAAGTTAATGTGGTGGTGGGGGGTCACCTTGTCATTTGTGTGTTCATTTATCGATCGCACTTTACATCAGGTTTTTACTCTCTAGTAAATTATGTTGACTTACTATTATTATTAGTTCACCACTAGTTACCTTATCTACAACTCACATATTTCTGTACTTTTCCGCCTACTTTGGTAAATAACTATCCCACAATATACCCTTCTTAAAGCCCATACTCTGATTGGCAACCTATACTTTATACTATAGTCAATTAATGCATTGCATCGATGTCTTACTCACAGTCCATAATTTGTAACTGCCTGATGAGCTTGTAAAGTGGTTCTTATGGAAATAATGTTTTCCAACAGGATGTGAAACACAGAAGATTGTGTGAGGTATGACATATATCCAATAATAAGCTTAAATGAGCCTGACATCACAAAAGGAAGGAGGGTGAAGTTACTGATCAGCAAGCATTGATGGTGAGGCCGATGACTTCAATCCACTCATGTTTGCGAGGCAGAACATTTCGCATGTATCAGACTCCTTATGATTGAAGATAAGTCAATCAATCTGTGATATAGTTTGTCTTCCTACTCTCACCACTCAGACTCATTTTTCCAATTTGACTAAGCTCAAGGTCACGGCGTGATTTAATGTGTGACTGTTAACCTTTTGACTATCTGCTTGGGAGGATTGCTGGAATCCCTGCAGATAGATATTTGATCCCGTTTGTTGGGAATATATTTGTTGATTCACAGATATTGAACCCTTTGGTATTAACTGTTTCTTTTATTGTTCAGCGTGCTATTTGCGTTAGAGAGACTTCTGACAGTATAGCACAGGCTGTACCGTTTGAGGTATTTTGTATTTTTGATATAATTTGTTCTATTTCCTAAACTAGAACCGTTTAAATTGAGCACAGAGTTTGTATTTTGATATAATTTAATACGAGTGTCTCAAAAACGCTTGATAAACTATACAGAAGAGCGTCATCTCGCCTATTCGAATACGTTTTGGTTCGTCAGTCCTGCGTTCAAACCGAATACTGGCAGTTCGGTCTTTACAAAAGATATAGTTATTAGTATTCTTAACACCTCACCATCTATATTCACACTCCGTTCCAATAAACAGCTTTCCTTGTACCAACCTAGACTTCCCTTCCTTCATGTGAGCTTACCCTAACTTGTTAAACATCACAACTCATTGTTCTTTATCACTACCTTATCTCATCTGGAGCCTCTGACTTCATTTCACTGTACCAAGAGATAATATGAATTTAATCTAATTTATTGCACCTCTGTCTGTTCTACTACAAAATGTCAAGTATTGTTTATCGTTCATATCCAAGTGCCTTGCTGCTCCTTTGTTAATCTTTTTTCAGAATCTTGCTCTGAGGGCATAGATATGAAAATTCTGTTGTCTGGAACAAACTTGACGTACGCGCCTCCTCAAGGTCATAGTTTACAGCAAGCGCTCTACGAGTCTACTTTATAACAGCTATAAACTTAATAAGTTGTACTGCATTAATACTTAGCACGACCAGAATTCTAGCACAATTATGTCGAAATCGAAAGTGGTGTGCAGCGTGAAGGCAATACCGCTTTGAAAAGTATTTTGGAGACTTTACTCAGTGTACTACTAAAGCATAAACCTAATCACTATCGCTGAAGAGATCTCCACGAATGAACTGTTATTCACCTTTATTGATTTCACTTATATCATGACCCTACTTTGGAAGCATGCTGTGAGCCAACAAATGTTGTAATTTGCAGATTATGCTTGTAAAAATGGCATGTACCTGCCCTTGCAAAAATATTATATATATATATATACATTAATATACATCGACTGAAAAACCGCCATCTTTTGTTGCTCTCTGACCCTTTCACTCAATAAGTAAATTTATTAAGCATGAATGCGTAATCCAAACCCAATGTTTCTCGGGCGTTAACAGATTGTATGATTCTGTGTGATTTTTTGAAGCAATTTAACTATTATGCTGGTTAGACTGACAGGTCGGTAGTTAGACACGGTATGTCTCTGTCCATATTTAAATCCAGAACTAACTATATCACCTTTCCTGTCCATAGAGTGTCGGGTGTGAGAAAAATACATGTTGAATTGCATCATAAGTGGTCCTGACATAATGTCTGTGAAAGATGACAGTAATCGCGAATGTGACCCATCAGAACCCTATGTCTTACTAGGTCCGATGTTAATGACCAATTGAAGAACAGCTTTCTTAGTCACATGCACAGGTCCTATAACTGGCATCTCAGTGATATAGTTGTGACAAATATTGTCAACATTTCCATCACAGCTTGCAAAAGTCTCAGCTCGACCAGATCTGGTCCGGCTAGAACTATTTGAATTTTCATGCAACAGTAATAAAGGAGTATCATCACCATGTTTTTTTCTTCGTTTAATGTACGGAAACAGTCGTTCTGTGCAGGTCGTCAATCATATGCCATCTGTTTTTCGTAAGTGGTGCCGTGTTTGGTTATGGTCTCCCAACATATATTCCGGATTTTTCGGTGCCCACACTTAAGTGATCCGTGATCTGTTGACAAGAAAAAGTCTCTGAACTGTTTCCTACACCTCAGCAGTTTTTGGGATCTCCTTATCGACACATGGAGGGCAGTGTGACAGCTTACATGCTGACTATAGAATAAACGGTAATGCTACGGACATAACTGTGAATTCAAGACTATCCCATTCGTCTTCGATCACCCCGCCTGCACTGACTTACCAATCTTTTGGGACAGCACCTTCTCTGATTGCAGGGGTTTTAGCCCTTCGAATATTCGGAAGGGTTGGAGCAAATACAAACCGTATATTGCGGTTCCGAAACACAAAGTGCAGCACAACGTAACCACTATTTCCTAGTGTGGGGAAGTACTGAATGTCGGTGACACCATCACAGTGGTGCAAAGACAAGATCTAGCAAGGTTGGCTCATGTTTAATGTCAATATGCGTTTGTTTGCGATAAATTGTACAAGTGCACATAGAACAACGGTTTTCAGAAGGCTGACGTCGAAATATTTACCTGAAGTGGTAAGCTCTATTCAGTTGATATACGGCGTGTTTAGATCTCAAAAGATGAAATAAAACTCGGCCTTACTCCAAGAACAGATATAAGTCGAGACAAGATCGTCAACAAGACAATGTGAACCACAGTATGTTCTCCATATCGTCATAAACCCACGCACAGATTTAATAATATAACATACTACCTCACACATACATCTACCGCGCGCATCTGATGTGCTCAACTGTACACGAAAGTGATTTCTAACACAGAGTATTATGCCTTCCTCTTGAGATTTATAAAAATCACTCCCAATAAAGATATATCCTGCAGTTATCGGAAAATAGTCTACATCTACATGAGCCACTTTTCGATGACAACAATTACATGTAACTTGATTTATACACGATCAAACTTAGCTCAGACGTTTTATTTCTAAGACCACGTGGGTTAATGTCGCACACATTTAAGGTGTTTTAAGAATCATTTTGTCTACCATACAGGTCTCACTTGTGGTGTCGTTTCCGGTCTATTAACGACTGAGAGCTTTTCTTTAGTTGTTATTGGATCAGAGCTTTGATTCGAGTAGATTACTCGCAATATTCCATGGGATTAAACTCTTTCCAACCACTTTACGGTTAAGTCTAGTTTTGCTCCGAGATGTCGGAAGAGTATTCCGTGACTCCCAGTGTAGGTATTCCAAAGGCCTGCCAAACAAAGGATGCCGTTTACAGCCATTTTTCTTTATTTTCTTTATTCACGCGTCATTCATTTCTCATCAGTCATGAGTGCCACATCGCGAATACTTTGGACAAAGATGGTCTTATATGGGACTTAAGATATTACCGTAGGATCATGACCACCATTATTTAGTGTTATTTTACTGTTTATTTATTTCGAAAGAGATTTCTCTTTTGCATGTTTCTCAATCGAGTATTTGGCTAATTTTGCAACAGGACTTACTACACTGACAAACTTTTCGCTTTCAGTACTTGTGTTGTCGGTCCAGCCTTTTTGAATCAGTCACGTCCTACTTGAATAACGGAACATAAAAGTCGGTAGGAGTAAGGCTTCGAGAATCTTTCGTAGGTTGTAGGATTTAAACGGGTACACATCTTATGGGACCAGTTTCCGAACTCATCAAATTGCATTTTTTCCTCCAAAGTAGACAAAACTTTGGCAGTCCACATCTGTGGGTAGAGCCGATGATTTCGAAGTGATTTAAAAGGGAAAAAAATCGACAATGTACACTAAATAATTACTAGTGTGATAAACAACTAAAAAACTATATCACTAAACGGATTTGACGAAAATCCCAAACCTTAACCGAAATAGTTTAAGTTACAGTCTACCAATATGCTTTAATGAGACAAATAAACAAAAGCAAATTGATTCCCAAGTGAGAAATACACGACTATTTTGAAACGCACTTTATTCTTCAAGACTTTAAATGGGTTTGAAAGCCTGGAATATGTTGACGATTCCTAAATAAAACATTGGTAAAGCAATATTATCCAACAGTAGGCCAGGCACGACGATAATAGACACTGTGTTTTAGTGTATAAAATGTGGAATATGTTTAGTGTCTTTGACGAAAGCTGGTATTTCAACTTTCTGTTGTTCGGAAATGGTTTTTCGGTCCTGTAGACTTATTTTAAGGTTGCGCACTGTCTACAAACCGCGTGCTTGCTTTTCAAGTGGAAAAAGACATATTTTACCAGTTGTTACACAGAGGTCTGTCATTTACAGGTGAGTGCCCTGAAATAAAGTAAGTAATCTTAAAAGGCCAATCATCCTAACAAATCATGATTTGCCTTTGTTGTCTTTCAAACGTTTCATGTGTAAGTTTGTCCGCTGAATAATTTTACAGTTCAGCTTATCCCCCTCATCTTGTAGTTAAACTTCCCAACCTGTCTCCTACTATGGAGACAGGTACGGTTGTAAGCTGGGCAAAGAACGAAGGCGATGAAGTATGTTCGCTCCTCTCTTGTTAATCTTTTAGGTTTCAGAAGGTGACCTACTTGCTGAAATTGAAACGGACAAAGCAACTATGTCATTCGATGCCAATGAGTCAGGATATCTTGCGAAAATCCTGGCCCCTGCTGGAAGCAAAGATATACCTGTCGGAACAGTATATTTCCCCGTTATGTTATTTTAATATTCTAGGCTCTATGTATCATAGTTCAAGACGAGAGTGCAGTTCCGGCTTTTAAGGATTATGTGACTGGATCAACAGTAAGTTGTCATTCATGCGTATTTCAATATCTTTATATTATTTCCTTAAACATCTATATACTAAGTTCATATTACAGTATTAAAATATCTACCTCGGAGATAAAAATATACTTCGAAAGCTAGCTATGGTATGTTGTTACACTAAGGTGTCTTCAATATCTTTATAATTTGGTTCATTCGTTTACAGTCCTGTCATGTACTGGTGAAGTAAAATTTGAATTTAAATGTTGTTCAATGTCTACGAAGTTAATCTGTTAGTTTCAGGCATAATTATTGTAGTTCTAGTGGTCGTTAGCCCTATAAACCACATTCAAAAGACTTTCATGTTAATTAGAAAATAGGATGAATATTATAAAATAAACTATAAACCTACAATTTAAGAAACAATCAGTATTGTCTAGTTAGTTCTATGCCTCTGATATCACTATGGACGAATGCTTGTTGCAAATGTTTTGTACTTAGTGGAGTCAGGTTTGTTCTCCATAGTCTGTAGTTAAACCATCCGATTGGCAGTACCTGAGATGAATTTTCAGTATTGTTTATTAATGACCATGAATTTTGTTGTTCAATTATCGATTTATGCTCAAATTACAGTAGGAAGATGGTGACTTTTGATAAAGTACTCGGCTTCCAACCCCTATTTTGCAGATTCAAACTCCGTTTCGCCTATCTCTGTTCAGACAGCTGATTGGTATCATTAATATCCACTTAAACTCGAGTAAATAAACCTGTTTATTTTATCCAAACTACATTTGATATTAACTAGCCAAGCTAGCTCCCGTGGAATTTTTTTCAACCAAAACCTCTGTGCAAGTTTCTAACATATATTTTCACATCAATCGGTGGCACGATAAATAGTCCCAGTAAAATTTTGGGAAACGTTAAGATGCAATAGAAGGTACGGTTACCTCACTTAAAAATGCTAAACTTCATCCTGCGACTTCAGTCACACATTCTTATTGCCCAATTGAGCTCTTAGCAATAGACTACGCTTTCCATAATAATATGGAACGTGCAGTGTTTGTTATTTGATTTTTTGACAATTATTCAAACCTCTGTTCTTTGGGTAGTAAATCTCAACTATTTCATTCATTAGCTACAATCTGGAATAAAGTTAGTGAACTGCTGTAAATACTTGTCCATATGCGTAATTAAATAAGTGGACACTTTCGTGTCTATAGACAACATATCATTGTCCGTAGGTGAATGATTGTTGCTTGCCTCCACATATAATTTTAAGTTCAATCGTTTGACAGATCTTTTTTTAATTCAACAGTATCAAGCTACAATCTCAATGATATATTAATGTGGTGTCTGCTACTGACGTACAGATATGTGGTGTGTATCATCAATCGAATGTGAAATGCCTTGAGGCAGAAGGTTAAGAAGTTCGAAAGAAAGAGAATGAGGACAGAGACTGATTGGTGTGAAAATGAAAAAACAATCAAGTCTGAAACGATGGGTTGACATTTTTCAAATGAAGTATTCACTGTATGATTCTCAGAGTTTACTAATTGATTCTGGGATTTTGTATTCAACTACATTCGGTTGTCTCCATTTGTGTCCTCGTTCACTATAATCTTACTATTAATATAGTTCAGTTAACTCCCATCCATCTTTACTTATAATGCATGTGAATGAAGTCAATATTGCAACAATCCGAATAGTGTGCACATATGTGAATAAGAGACTGACCAATTGCATTCCTAAACACCAATGGGAAGATTCAAGTAAACAATACCAAGTGGATTTAAATTCCACCCCATTGCACACGCAAGTGGCTATCAGGACTCAGTAGCTAAGTGGATAACGCGATGGCGTTTAAGGCGAACGGTACTGAGTTCGAATACTGGGGTACACATCAACTCTGGGATGCGGGTACATCTAGCTGACGGATCCCAAATAGGACGAAACGTACGTCCTGGATTTTACTGCTAGCCGCAATTCATCTTTGCTTATAATATATCATATAGTTTTTGTAGATCCTATGCCTTCTTAATATTATGTATAAAGCACATATATGCTTCATATTTCATCTTTAAATTACAACCGAGTTTATTTTTAAATTCTGTTCAGGAACAAGTTTCTACTCCGAAAACTGAAGAAGTACCCAAACCTCAGGTTACTCCTGCTGCTGCTCCCCAGCCCTCACCAGCTACACCTAAACCTATTGCTCCTACTCCCAAAGCACCAGCAACCGGAGAAAGGACTGTTGCTTCACCGTTTGCTCGTCGTTTGGCTGCTGAACAAGGACTTGATTTGTCAAATGTAGTTGGCACCGGAATGTACGGCATGATTCGTTCGACTGACTTAAATCTTGAATCTATCGATCAAAAAGCTAGCACAATGACTAGTCCAATTTTAAATTATGGAAAATTCGAGGATATTAGTGTTAGCAACATGCGATCAGTAAGTGTGTTTACAAATTCATTGATTGGATTTGTATTTTAGTTTCATGATATGTTTAGTACGATTGTGTTAAAACATAAGGTATATTCCTACTCGACTACTGGGACTAGGTCCACAACTAATTTTTCAAGTGAGGGGTTTTGTTTTAGTGTACTTTGGATCTAGTAAAACGACCAGTGTTTATTTGTTATAGATCCGAAGTAAATTAGTTTGAATATTTTTTATTCTTTTACTAGCGATGACGTTAAAAATACTGGAATTCAATCTCACCTCACAATGCAAACGATAAATGCGGAGTGGACATACCCAAGTTTATTCTTTGAGATTCTCTAAAAATTAGTTTGTCACCGTTTTCGTGTCTAACGTATTAGGCTTTCGCTCTTAGTTCATTCGAGATCGGTCAATCGTAAACAGCATATAACCTGATACATATGTGCATCAACCCAAGTTGCCACACTATATCGACACATGGCGATGAATTCTGATGAATATTTGTAGATTCGAACACGAAATTCAGTTTTAGAAATACAGCTTAAACAAAATTAGTTTGAAAGGAAGTTAATGAACACTTTTCTTATCAGAGAAGTTGTATGGCAGTTACGCGTACTCTTATCCCAGAAAACTAAGAGCAGCTCCACCATGACTTGATTTCAGTTCACAGTGTCATTGAACTTTTGATCTAAGTTGTCAGATGGAATAAAGACCCTCTGATTGAAGAATTTATTGTATCTTGTTTAAATTCACTTACTATTTATCTTTTCATCATTCGTTTTCAGCTGTTTTCTTGAATGTTGTGTTAATGAGGGCAATACTTGTCTGTTGAACTTTTTTTTGTTTTCGTCTGTTTGCATAAAGTGTAATATCTTAAATTACTACATATTTGTTCTAGTTCCTATTCTATCTCTATCTATCTTTGGATTTACTTTTCAAAGCCTCGTGTGACCAAGAGAGTTTCATCAATCTCCTAAAGTCTGACTTGATTTCGTGATGTTTTATCTAAAAGCTATGCATTAAGTCAATTATATTGGCGTGTGAAGATCTATTCGAAATATCTTTGGCTAGACTGTAAGGCTTACAACCTCATTAATCTTTGGTTTGTTTTTGAAATAATATCAACAGTCGGATAAGCACTGATCTTGAGATCTTATCTATATGAACGAGAGAAAATGTGTGATAATAGATGTTTGCTAAAACAACTTCGGCCGCTTTGTTAGATGTAGCAATCCAGACGTCTCATTCTGTTTAACTCATCTTTCTCTATCATCTTATCCCATTTGTATGATATAGTTAGGTTAGAGGGATTTTGTTAAATTGTGATTTTTTCCCATTTCAATCAACTCCAACTGATATGTAACAACTTTTCATATTGAGTAATATAATCGGTATATTAAATTCTATTGTCGATTTTGCTCAATTGCAATTTGGTTTGATAAAGTGTATATAGCAATTCTTCTGAAAGATGACTATTCACACTTTCATGTCACTGTGACATTCAACAATATACTGATGATTGAACGAGATGGTATTATATGAAATGTTTTCGGTAAATTGTATATTAACCACATAATATTTTGTCCAACTTATGTCAATATCAATCAAAGTTCATTGATTTTTTAGTAGTCAACACTGCCACTTATTCTCCATGAATTTCTTCTTTGTATTTAAGGTAATTGCTAAACGATTGACTGAATCAAAACGAACTATTCCACATTATTATTTAACAATGGATATTCAAGTAGATGAAATTTTAGAAATACGCTCTAAAATTAATTCAAGTTTATCTAATTTAAACGATTCAAAATCTGATGAACCTGTATCAAAAATAAGTTTAAATGATATTCTTATAAAAGCAGCTTCATTAACATGTTTAAAAGTACCTGAATGTAATTCGTCATGGCATGGTGATTTTATTCGAAAGTAAGTTGTTTGATATTGTTTCACAATTTTAATGTTTGTTTAAATTGGATTCAGCTTAACAGTTGAAATCATGAGTCATTTGAAGCTAGACCGCTATGGAGAACCTAGAAGCACTGGGCGGCCGTTTCGTCTTATTGTGGGACTCCTCAGCCGTGTGCATTGACGACCCCGCCTCGCGGGATTCGAACCCAGGACCTATCAGTCTCGCGCCAGGCGTTTAACCAACTAGACCACTGAGCCAGCCGGCATCCAATGGTGTTAATGTCTAACTTCAACCAATCCACGAAATTGAGCGACACATCCACCATTGTCATCAGTGAGTTACTATCTCACAACTGATCCGGTTGAATTCCACTGGTCTAGCTTCAATTGACTCATGATCTCAACTGTTAAAATTACTACAATATCCGATAAACCCCTTCGGATTCAGCTTAGTATATATAATACATTTTAATATTTATGACAAATTCACTAGGCTGTCCCTAATCGAATTATTTGTAGTACTTAATACTACTAGTTGAGTTATTTTATTTGAGTAGTGATATTTAGCTCCAATGGAATGATCAAGTATATATGTAGTTCAGAATGGGAATTTTGGGGATCGGAGATCAGATCACCGGTGGAGACAATCAAAATAAATATACAAACGTTGATCATTCACCTACGGACAATGACCAACCATTCATGGAAAAGTCTTAATGACTAGCTCACTTCTTATTGAGGTTTGTACTAATGATGTTATCAAAAAATAAACAACAGGATAATTTAATTTAGAGGACAAAATACCTTCGAAAGTTGACTCTATTTGTTATGTCTGCGGAGTGCTTAATTAACATCCTGGTATTGGCTACTTGAACTCACGGGTCGGATGACCGAAGTAAAAACATGACGATATATAGGGGTTTATTTGACCCCCTCAGTAAATCGAAACGATATGAAAATACAGTAATTCTTACGTTATTTAGTTACAGTCAGATTGCCGATCGTAGATTATTTGGAGAACGATAAGACTAAAACCAGCAACTTGGGGTTGGAGGGCGAAATACTGCTAGCTGTAGACGAGTGTGAAAACAGTAAGATTTTCCATCGGTCAACTAACATCTGCAACGAATCTTGAGTATATTGTGTAAACAACTGTTTATAAATACTTGTACTTTTTGATTATGATTGTAGTAGTCCTCGAAGTTTCAACTCTGTAGACGATCGTTAAGAGAAATTAATTTCATGTATTACTCACATCGTTATAATACCAGTATTCAAAATCTTAATACTGGCATGTAAAACTCATCTGGAGGAAGCGTACAACAGTGGATCGTGCCATATTATACACCTATAAAATATGAACGTTGAGAGTTGCTTACATGAATTTACATGTATTCGGTAGTCACTGTTTTAAAACTGTTGTAGATCAACTGATCAGTGTTACATTTAAATTTACAAAAATGTCTACCAGTTTTAACTACAATCTATGCAAACATGTAGTCATTAACTCTACAATACTTGTTTGCCTGTGTTTTATGAGATAGGTAGCTAAAGCAAGTGTGTATGATGTACATAAACAGACAGATATCATCAATATAGAACATGGGACAATTGTACTTAGCCCAAGTCGCTATACCTGATTAGCTCAATGAGATAAAAATCACAAAAGAGAGCGAAATAATGTAGTAATAATCATGAAAAGAAAGACTAATCACTAAGAATATAATTTGACAAAACAGAACTGAAAAGTATTGATCAAAGGATACTGAAATTTAAGATCAAGATGAAGATTTAGAATCAATTTTACTGCATCCACTGCTAACGACTTTAACCTGTCACCCATAGTTTCCAACCACTGATCGCAGTTATCATGCAAACCTCAGTCAGTTAGTCTGTATCTACAAACATAACCAACAGTCAATAACGTCATAGCTTGATGCCACGCTTTGGTATATCCTCCCTTAGATTTCTTTCAACCTACCTCAGCACTAGCAAGCTTCACTCATCGAAGTAGTCAAGTGATTGGGCATACGTTACACATGTACATGACTATTGACAGTAACAAATTCATAGGGAATTTAAACCTCTATAGTAATTTTCCTTTATTTTGCTATTCTAATTCTTTCCTTTACTTTGTGCGTGTAGATACCATAGTGTCGATGTAAGTGTAGCTGTGGCTATTCCTTCTGGATTAATCACACCAATAATATTTTCTGCAGATACAAAGGTAACAAAAATTTAATTGTTTAACTTAATATTTTGTTTTGGATAAAGCAAAACTTTTCATTTTAACTGATTACTGCTTATACTTTTATTACCTCTACCGCTGTGAGATTTGAATCGATAATTGCACCTCTGTGCTAATGTGGTATGGCAACTTGAACTGATGTATGTATGTACGAAGTTCTGTGTTGTTACTGTCTGACTGTCTGAATTTTAATTGAACTGGAATGAAATATTTCTTTACTCTAGTCGTTTATTTTCTAACAATATTTTACAAACTCATGATAGTAGGATATTTTCATTCCGCTTACTTGCTTACACCTGTTACCCCTCGTGGAAAAGCATAGGCCGCTCACTAGCATTCTTCATTAAACTTTGTCCTAATCAATCCTTTTTAGTTGCTCCCAGTTGCTGTTTATCCTTTTGATGTTTGCTATCAATTCTTGACTCAGTGTGTTCTTTGGCCTTTCTCTGTTCTATTTCCCTTCAGGATTCCAAGTTAGTGCTTGCCTCGTGATGCAGTTTGGTGATTTCCGCAATGTATGTTCTATCCATTTCAGTGTCTTTTCCTAATTCCATCTTCAACTGGAAGTTGGTTTGTTCTTTCCCAAAGTAGGCTATTGCTGATGATAGCCGGCCAGTGGGCATTGAGTATCTTGCCCAGACAATTATTTATAAATACTTGCATAATTTTAATGATGGTTGTGGTAGTTCTCCATTCATTTCACAAAGTACATATATGGGTTAACTGTCTACTGTTTCATTCTTGATAGTTCTGTATTTCGTTTATGTTTTATCCTATTGAATTGTCAGTATGAAACAAAAGACTGACAATGATTAACCACTCATAAGAGATCTCATTCAGTATATCACTAATTTCTAAATATGTGTATGTAGATAAATCAAAGAAAGTAGACAATTTAAACTGGAACCACGATTTTTCATTAGTTACATCAAGCAACTTGGACCTTTTCCATAACACATACAGCTTGAAGTGTAACAGCAAATTAGATATACGCGTTCCACATACACTGGTATGATGGATAATATTGTGAGGTGATACAAGGAAGATCGATAAATAAATAAATTAATAATTAAATGTTCAATCTACCATTCAATTAAGAGGAGGTTGAATGAAAGCTAGCTTCAGTGAAACAAAGATATGAAATCAGTCCACAAAAACACTGACTATTGGACTGAGCCATGTAGGTAGGTGTAGACTACCTGGTTTGGGTCCACGTGGTTATCGTATCCAGTAGTTAGAGGATTTGATTGACATGGCTCAAAACCGTTTCTAGTGACCTAATTGCTTGTCTTTTCCTTAATCTCAAGTTTCTAAATTCATAAACTATGTTATTATTATTATTGTTATATTTTCATCTGGAATTGTATCTTGTATGACTTATCTTTTCCATTACCGTCAATACTGTTACTACTTCTACTACTTTAGGTTTAGCCTTAAAAAATTCCATCGTGGTTTGCTAATGGTTTATGACAACTTGAACTGATATACTACACATGTACCAGGTTCTATGTTGCGTTTGACTGTCTGAGAGTTCAGTTGAGAAAACAATCAAAAGAGATTCTATCCGTTGAGGAAGTGGATCTTACGTATATAAAGAATATAATTGAAAACTGTTTTAATGTTACCGCTGTTTTTTTTTTGGACTGAGTTGGATAACATTTAGGGTTCCGATACCCACCAAGACAGTCGTGATCGACTAACAGATTCTAATCTTGTGTCGCTGTTTTCCATTTTATAAACTGATCATTTTTTGTAAGCAAAAATGGATAGTGGCTAGCAGTGGAATCCAGGACGCGCGTTTCGTCCTATTTGGGACTCGTCAGCTGGATGTACCTGCATCTCAGAGTTGATGTTCACTGAACAATTTCAGTCCTAAACATCAATGGGAAGATTCAAATAAAACAATATCAAGTGAATTGATCATTTTTTGGTTTTTTCCATTGAGTCTCAATGAGTTATTCGGTTCAAAAATAGAACTGATATACAGTCTAATGGACACAAATACTGTATTCAATATTGATCAATATTTCTAGCAACTTCAGTGACTAAGTCGCGCAATTCCTATAGATATTCTTAAGAGTTGGTGTTGTACAAATACAGTTATCATTCAGTTTACATGATGGTCCGTGTCTTATCAACTGATTCCTAACATGAAATCAATTCATACAGACGGATTACATAAAGCCATAACTTAATTCATCACCATAAATGTTATGAGGTTGTTTCGTTAATTTGTGAAGGAAAATGGTCTTTATCTCATGCACAAACACACACAACTGACATGACAATTTAATCAAATGCTAACTACACTATAAAAACTATCGTTATGATAAAGTAATCCACCTGGAGCCCCTCTGGGGCTGAAAAAAACGCTAACCAGAAAAAATAATTCGAACCATTTAAACTTTGCCCAGGGAGTTACAAGGTTTGCATTTAGAAGAATTATGACGTCTCATGATGAAAGCCGAGTTCCTTCGGAAGTCACAATGCTGTTGCCCCTTCTGACAACCAGACAAACCGTTCATTTAGATACATGGAATGCTCGTACAATGTGGACGACTAAGAGAGTCTTCGAAATTGCTTCAGAATCCTTCCTGAGGTTTTCGTCTACATGAAAAAGTTGTTCAATATTCAATTTCACCGTATCTTTAAATTGTTATTTCTTTTATTCCATTTATAGGGTTTAGTACAAATCAATAAAGAAATGCGAATGTTAGTTACTAAAGCGAAACAGAATAAATTAAAACCTCAAGAATATCAGGTGAGTTAACTTTTCTTTTGTTTTACAATGTAAATTTTATTCAATTATATAAAGATTAGTTATTATTTCTTTGTATAATATAATGAATTAAAATAACCATAGAATAATACAAGAATATATTCATTAGGACGTTGATGAATAATAGTGTTGATACTAGTTTAGTTAGTCATACCGTAGTTTCTAGAAAATCAACATACTTTTCGATGTCCGACTATAACTGTGTTTCTTGATCTTAAGACAGAGTTCGATTCGGTTGATTGTAAGGTTCTGTAAAAGATCGGATTTACAACGCGTCGGTGAGAGCAGTTTTGCTCTATGCTTGTTAAACCTGGCCTCTCCGAGTTGAGGATGTTAGACGACTCTCTGTGTTTGATCATCGCTGTCTCCGAAGGATTGCTAACATCCAGTGGCAACACCATGTTAGTAATGCAGAGGTTCAGCATCGTGTGTTCGGGCACAGAGACGATAATGCAATTGGTGTCACCATCTTGAAACACCGACTTCGGTGGCTTGGACATGTTCCACGAATGTCGTCCCAGAGGATTCCTCGTCGTGCATTATTTGCCGACTCTGGGACTGGTTGGAAAAAGTGGAGAGGTGGTAGGAAAGAAAGCTGCAAAGGGCTGGCTTGTGTTGGTCCCTCACGACTCCCTGGCTGGGGTCCGAGAGACGGTGTAACTCAGTAGCTAGAAACGTTATCAGATATGGCTGAGAATAGAAGCCAATGGCGATCCTGCTGTAACCTTCTTTTACTCTTCATAAAAAGTGATTTTATCTTACTTAACTGTAAGATTTCTTCTGATTGTACCTTTCCGTTTCCCCCATTATTAATATTATTATTATTACACTACCTTACACCAATCTGTTCGTTATTGTTCTTTTTTTTACGCTCCTTACCTTTTTTTCTCTTCGAATTCTCATTATTTTGTGTGACGCATATATATTTGGTGCCCCCTTGTACCAATATTTATGTGTTCAAATAAATAAATAAATAATAAATTTATATTAGTGTTTGTCATTTAAAGACATTAAAGAAGTACTTTAATCTGGTACGGTCTCTCTACTCGAGTCAGAGTTTATGGCGAACTGCTGTCAGAGTTGGTTACTTCAAATGATATTACTCATGGGTGTTCGCTTTCCCCATTTTTATTTAACTTTGTCATAGACATGGTTTTAGAAGTAACATTCATCGTTTGACTTCTCAGAAGTTGATCTTCTATCAAGGAATTAACCTGTTAACCTAGAACACGCAGATGATTTTGTTGTGACTTGATGCTCGCTTTTATCACATCATTTATTCACCCATTGAAATGCGACTTACACAATCTTTGAACTGTGCTAAACCAATGATGTTCGACCGGTATGAGCAGCCTTACTGGTCCATTGTTCTCCTAACCCTGCTAGTTGAATCCAGAACACCAATATCAGCTTCCACTATGTGAATCATTTATTTCAAACAAACTTGGTTTATGTACCAGCCAAACAGACCACATCACATCATAAAATAGAAAATACACATTTATACAAGATCAAGCCAAAAAGTGGCTGTGAACATGGGAGACTGTAATGAATAGACTGGGTATAAGTCAAGAACGGTAAATCGTATCATAATGGTCTATAGGTCAAAATGAAGCTTTTAATAAGGGGAATATAAATATACACAATCTAGTTACTAAATAGTACCAATATCTATGTGTTCAAATCAAAAAATAAAATAGTTATACCATAAGAATACATAGGTGATCTTAGTCCATTAATAGATTTCAGAAGTTACTCGTAATTTAATCTTCGCTAGGATATAACAGACATATTTTTGTTTGACGAAGATACTGACAAAATGCAGAATCTTCTGACCATCTTAAGCAACAATGCAGTGATGTTTAGAATGCGGTTTTCTCCAGGACTGATTTGCGTCATTGGCTGAATTTATGATACAGAGTGACGAAGTTAAACGCATCGATCGCTTCAGTTATCTCGAGAGTTTAATCAGTCCTGATGGTCTGGTGTCTGACGAAATTTCAGCATAAATTAAGAAGGCTCGATTGGCTTTTGTCGGCTTGTGGGTTATGGGAGATATCCGTCTCTCAACCAAAGGATGAGTTTGCTGCTCAGCAGTTCGCTCCGTTCCAGTTTATGAGTGTGAAACATGGTCATTAAAAGTGGAGGATATTTGTAAGTCACTAGCATTTGATCATAGATGTCTTCGAAGCCTTTCTCGTGTATTTTGGGACCACTGAGTAAGCAATATCTGGGTTAAGAATGGGGTACCAGGTAAGGATGGCTAAGCGATTGATGAGGCGGTTGATACATGTACTACGTATGCTCAACTACTGCCTAAATCGAGAGGTTATGTTATCTGGTGTTGGGAGTAGGCTGAAAAAAAGATGAGGTCAACTAGATCAAAACATGGCATTAGTTTAGGAAGTCATTGACGATTGAACTAAACCATGTTAATAGGTGTAGGCTACCACCACCTGGTTGGGGTATGCGCGGTTGTTATAACCAATTGTTAGAGACTTCGGATGACACGGTTAAAAGTTGTCTACAGTGACGCAGGCGCATTCATTATGTGTCTTCCCACAAGTTCTGAGATTCTAAATTCGTCAACTTTTTTTTGTTTTTATTTCACTAATTTATATTTCCTCGAATCATATCTTTGATGTTTTGTCATTTCCATTACCATTGAGATTGTTCTTACCTCGATTACTCTGTGGTTTGCTCTAAAAATTTCATCACTGTGTGCTAATAGAGTATGACAGCTTGAACCGATGTACATTCGTACAAGGTTCTACGTTGCTGCTCACTGATTATACTCAAAATGAAACCTGGTGTATATTTTAGGAATAGAATATTTAAAAGAGATATTGGTAAATGCACCTACATTGATTGTCAGAGATTTTCGGTTGCATTTCATTCGACATTTCAAGCTACAAATTATTACTGTCTTTCTAACTGCCACTGAAATGTATATTCCTCTCTAGATAGTTTAAATAGTAGTATTGAGTGCTTTCATGAAGTTGAATAGAAGCTTTAAAGTATACAGCATAATAGTTGAAAGTTAAGTGCTTTAGTCAATTAACCATTGCTACATTAAATGTAGTGTAATTTAGAGTTATCTTACTGATAAGATAAAAAGAAAAGTCGATATTCGATTGATTTACTCATTATGAGTTTTGATTCAACATTACATCCGTTTTGATTCAATGTAATGATTACTCAATGTAGTATTTGTATTTTGTTTTCCAAGTATGATATTTTATCCTGTATAATATACAATGTTCTTGTATTTCATTGATCTGAACTATGCTCTCTATGTGATTTGTGATAACACTGATTTCATTCTAATTGTTAATCAAAATCGGTCTACGAATCAATATATAAATGAGTGTATTTTCGACTAAGGTCGTCGTCGTCATCATGGCGTTTTGGGGTTAATAAATCTTCACTTATACCAACCTTTGTGGAGATCCCTTCGTTCCGAGTATAAGTGATCAGCATTTCCAACATAACAATCAACGACGACCAGATAAACAAGTAACATTCAATTGACAAGTTATAACAATTGGCGAAGGGGATGGGATTCGAACCCACATGGGGAGATGATTAGAAGTAGTCCATAAGAATCGTTGAACTTAAGTTTCGTGCTAGTAAACATTTATCAATAAGACGTACCTGTAATCTTTAGGAGAATTAACACTGTGTTGTGAGACTCGAACTGTATCATTTCGTTTTACATTCTTAGACATTACTATTAAGTTATTTGGGCCTCTATTGTTCTTTTGTAAATGAAGATATAATATACAAAATCATTAAATTAAATATTTGAATTCTACAATTCATTTATCAGTTAATAAGTATTATTTTCATCAATTGTTAATAATTACTCTTCAATTGATTATTGAACTTTATGAATTGTATCTCAGGATACTTTCAATACATTTAATATCTCAATTATTTTTTTTTTTTCTTTAATTATTTAAGGGTGGAACATTTTCAATTTCTAATTTGGGAATGTTTGGAATTACTAATTTCTGTGCTATCATTAATCCACCTCAAGCATGTATTCTTACTGTAGGTAGTACAAGACCGAAAATTTTACCAGATAATAAAAATTCTAAAGGGTAAATTTTATCAAAATATTTTAGTGTATATGTTTGTGTGTAAGTGAATTTGTTTTACTTTCTTTTTTTTTTTTTTGAACAATAAGTAAATTTCAATAGTTGAAATCATGAGTCGATTAAAGCTAGATCATCATGGAAAACTTGGAAGCAATGGATGGTTGTTTTTTCGTTCTACTGTGAGACTCTTTAGAAGTGCACATCTACGACCCCACCCCACGAGATTCGAACCCAGGACCTATCAGTCTTGCACGCGAACGCTTAATTACTAGTCCAGTGAGCTGGCCGGTATCCACTGGTGTTAATGTTTAATTTCAACTAATCCACGAAATTGAGTGACACATTCACCATTGTCATCAGTGAATTACTATCTCACAGGAGACCCGTTTGAACTTCACTGGTCACTGCTTCTCACTAGAACTCCAGGAAATATTTCTTGGAAACCGTCATTAGTGAGCATATGTTGATTAATATCAGAAGGGGTTTTTATGGATATTATGATAATTTCAATAGTTGAGATCATAAGTCAATTAAAGCTACAAGTTATGTGTAGTGGTTCGCGTCTATTTAGAAGAAGGTGTTTTGTGTACTACTAGGCGATCATGAACAGTAGCATAATTGAAGAGAATTGAAAAAAGAGAAGAACAAGAGAAAAAGTAAATTAACGGTTCAGTAAGCACACACACACACACAATTCAATAAACAACAATCAGCAACGATTCAAGTTTCAAATTTAAGACAATCTTGAAACGGAAACTAGAAGTGTATAGTTGACATCTGTCATACAAATATCATCATTAATAAGTGATGATTGTCATTGATTTAATTATTTTTTTTTCTTCCTCTTCATTTTGTATTGTTTCTATCTCTTGTAGATTTAAAGAAGCGAATATTTTATCCGTAACATTATGCTGTGATCATCGTGTTGTTGATGGAGCAGTTGGAGCTCATTGGCTTAGTGAATTTAAAAAGATTTTAGAGAATCCAGCACTTTTTCTTATTTAATTAAATTTTTTGTTTGTTAATATATACTCCTAATGGGATGTATTGTTCGTCTTCTTTACACTGTTCTCTATATTCACTCAATAGAATATTTAGTGTAGCATAACAACAAGTATATGAATAGATATACACCCACCCTGCATCCCACCCCATCCCACTTATCCACACACACTTGAAGATCATTGAAATATCTGGATTAGGTGTAAGATGTAAGTTTTAAAAAAACAAGTTTATTACGACATTAGTTATGGTATCTCTTGATAATTAATAATATTAATAATAATTATTATTATTTCTTCTTGTTGCTAGGATTGTCCAGTTAATGTATCTTTCCTTACTACTCTGTTTTTTTTGTTGTTCATTTTGAAATGTAACCTTACACTATAGTTATTTATACAGGGTGTTATCACATTTTCTATTATGTGAGTATATATGTGTGTGTATACAATGGTGGTGTATTTCTTTCCTTTTTGTTTTGTAGCTATGTAAATAAAGGTAGACATGTTTGTATTGCATCAAATTGTTATGATATTATATATATATATATATATATATATATATATATATATATATATATATATAGATATAGATATAGATATATAGATATAGATATAGATATAGATATAGATATAGATATAGATATAGATATAGATATAGATATAGATATAGATATAGATATAGATATAGATATAGATATAGATATAGATATAGATATAGATATAGATATAGATATAGATATAGATATAGATATAGATATAGATATAGATATAGATATAGATATAGATATAGATATAGATATAGATATAGATAGATAGATAGATAGATAGATATAGGTATCAGAGTAACGAAATAGTCACGGTAGTAGATAAGATAGTGGAAAAAATTAAGTATATAATCAATATGATTCGACAGGAAAGAATGAACTTGTAGAGTAAAGATTGTAAAATACTTTTGAAACTTAAAATCTGAGTAGAAGAGTAAAAGTTAATAGTTCTAGGTTATTGTGATCGATTTTGAGCCATGATAATTAAAGTTTTCATCAGTTTTTAATTACAATAATCATCCTATCCCCAATTAAAGTAGCCTAAGGTTCCAAATGTCCTAGTATGACTGAAGGTAGGAAGAGTCCACTCTCTCTCTTTCGAAACGCTCAAATATGGCCGCGCGTATATAACCATTACATGGGGTGTTCTATTCATTGCCTTCTCGCATCGGAAGTGTTTGCAAAATTGATAGGACGAAAAGCGAATGTCCGGTACTTAAACCGGACGCTACTTATATTGACATCCTACTATTTCAGTAGTTGAGATATTTTTTTCAACGATTTACTACCAAAAGTATGTGTTAAGATATATGAATGATAATTCCTCAAAGTACTTTACAGTCTCGTAGATTGGTTGAGATTAGACATTAACACTGTTAGATACCGGCTCAGTGGTCTAGAGGTTAAGCGCGAGACCGGAGACCCTGGGTTCAAGTCTCTCGAGGTAGTACCGTGGGTGCGCGCCTCCGCTGAGGAGTCCGACGATGGAACGAAACGGCTGTCTAATGCTTCTAGGTTTTCAATGGTGGTTTAACATCGATCGATTCATGATCTGAATAAAAAAAATGTGGGGAACATTGATAATATATACAAATGTTTGAATGCAAACTATGTACCTTGTTCGACAAGCAAATTCCTATATAATATATACATTAAATTTGAAATATTCATTCGATTTTCTGCTTCTATCCGTGAATGAAATGGCATCGTAATTTCATGTTCTTATAAATATGAGGAATATTTTATTATATTAGATCATAGAAACTGAAAAGGTTTGTGTAGGACAGAGTTCGATGGAGAATACTGGTGGGTGGCTTATACTCCTTCACGTGGTGTAACAGACGTAAGTAAATAAGATCATAGAAACAAAATGTCTACATATTTTCAACTATATGATGACAATATTTAAACGAATCATCTTTATTAAAGAGGTTTATTCAATCAGTTATCAAAGAAGAAGCATGATTTACATGTCTTGTCTTATTTCGTAACACATAGAACAGTATTAATCTTGATTGATCAAAGTAAATCAACCAGTGCCACCAAATGCCCTGGTACGGTCAAGAATGAGGAGAGTCCGCTCTCCCTCTCAAAATGCTCTCACATGGCCACACGTATATAACTTCTGCCAGGGAAGTCCTACTCACTGCCTTTGCGTGGCGGGGGTGTTGTTTACGAAAATGAGAGGACGAAGAGCGAATGTCTGGCGCTTTAACCGGATCCCAAACCAATGGTGCACATGGACTCCAGTATCCTGAAGGAACAAATGGCGTATAAAACAATTGTTGGTCATCGGCTACCATGGGACTTCATCTCCTTACGATGCTCCACTGCCTTGTGGATCAGGCGTTCAGGTCCTAGGCTCGGGGTGTGGCCCCCTAAGAAAATCACCCGGACAGTATCAAAGCCCTCACACAAATCAAATGAGATTTGTGTGGCGCATATGTATTTGGTGCCTACTTGTACCAATATCTATGTGTTAAAATAATAATAATAAATCAACCAGTCATATTTAAGTTAAATACCCATCATTTAAGATAATTTGATTTAATCCCATACTGCTTATCAATCTGATTCTTTTTATTTAACTATCAATCATGAAATTGAAACAGATTACATAAACAACACTAACCCTTGTTATTAACTCATTTTCTTGTGCTACTACTTGATTAATCAGTTTTTATGGAACTATGAAGGAGTATAATTGAAATTGAAGGACAGAATATAAAAATCCAGTTTAATTGTGAAACTGAACTAAATAAGTTGGTTCAACATTTTCATAGTGTATAGTTGAGCTACTGATTATAGTAGGATTTCAGTTCTTTGCGTTGAATGATTTAATCTGATTACTTTGATCTGTTTATTCATATCATATCGAAGATGAACAGTCAGTCAGTCAGCTACAACATAGGACCAGGCACATATATACATCGGTCCAAGTTACCATACTGTATTAGCACAACAAGATGAACACCGGCTTCATAGTAGTTAAGTCCATGGTGGTGGTTATAATAAATATAAAAAAGAAAGATTGCATAAAAGGAGATAGTACAGGAAGAAAGATTTAGTATGTAGAAAGAAAGATATGAAGCGATTTTAATCTCATAGTTTAAGGAAAGGCAGAGAGTGTTGTATACACCTACGCCATTGTGATCGATTCTGAGCCATATCACCAAAAATCTCCAACGATTGATTACGATATTCACTCGGACCTCAACCAAGTAGTCTGCATCTATCAACATGGCTCAGACCAGATGTTAGTGTCTTCAAGCACAGATGTCACGTTTTGCTTTGGTTCATGACTGTATTATTATTATTATTATTATTTTAACACATAAATATCGGTACAAGAAGGCACCAAATACATATGCGCCACACAGATCTCATTTGATATGTGTGAGGGCTGTGATACTGCCCGGGTGCCCAAACCGAAGCAGGTGGTTTTCTTAGGGGGCCACACCCCGAGCCTTCGACCTGAAGATCTGATCCACAAGGCAGTGGAGCATCGTGAGGAGATGCAGTCCCATGGTAGCCGGTGACCAACGATTGGTTCATACGCCATTTGTTCCCGCAGGATACTGGAGCCAGCCCATGTGCACCATTGGTTTGGGATCCGGTTATAGCGCCGGACATTCGCTTTTCGTCCTCTCATTTTTGTAAACAACACCCCCGCCACGAGAAGGCAGTGAGTAGGACTTCCCTGGCAGGGGCTGTATACGCGTGGCCATGTGGGAGCATTTCGAGAGGGGGAGCGGACTCTCCCCACTCTCGGCCGTACCAGGGCATTTGGGGGCCATGACTGTTGATGGTCACGAATTGATGGAAGTTGACAAATCCAAACTAAGAGATTCTAACACATTAACTATTATAGATTCAATATCCTGGATTATCCCAAACTATAATCAAACAATATTGATTATATTCTTAACATTCTACTCTTTTGTCCTTCAAAGAGTAATAATATACATAATTTATTGATCCGAGTGCAATAGTTTATATGGATGAAAATCAATACTATTTACTCTTTATCTTAGTTACAATATTAATATTCATTATACAATTTTATTATTCATTTATGGAATTCTTTTAAACTAATTCAATGAATTATTAATCTTATTGATTTTCCAATTAGTATCTAACTATAAGGGTTACTGACTACTGGGTGTCAATGTACTTGTGTATCTATGCATGTTCACAATATATATATGTAGAAATAATCGATTAAATCATAAGGTCATCTTGATGATTAATGTTTTCGATATATATTTAGTTAAATAAATGTTCATCTTATTTGTATTACATGTAATGTTAGATAAAATCATAAAATAAATAGTTTCATAGGTATTCAACATTGATACTAACCTTATACGTATGGTGGCCTACTTGAATATCTGTGGTACCTGTTCCTTCCATTTGGATATTTCAACAAGTTATCTGTTTTCTTATTTGTTTTTAACATATCATTATGTTACGTATGCCCAACCACTGACTGCCTCGATGTGCAATGTTCAGTGGTATAGGAGTAGGTTGGAAGAAAGTTGGGGGTGGTTAGACGAAAACATGGCAAAAATCTATGAAGTCGTTGATAAGTGGACTGAGCCATGGTGGTAAGTGTAGACTAGCTGGTTGGGGACCGTGAGATGATAGCAACCGATGGTTAGGAACCCTGAATGACATGGCTCAAAATCGTTTGCAATGGCGCAGGTGAATCCACTCTTTACGTTCTCCCAAATTCTAATCTTCTGAATTCTTCATGTCCCTTTTTTTCTCTTTCCAAATTTATTTCACTGGATTATACTCCTTGAATAATATCTTCAAACCCTGATCTTTCAGATTACTGCTTATACTTTTAGTACCTCTACCACTATGAGATTTGAATTGATAATTGTATCTATGTGCTAATGTGGTATGGCAACTCGAACTGGTGTACGTACGTACGAAGTTCTACGTTGTTACTGACCGACTGTTTAGTCTCATAACATTTTCAAGTACGTTTGTGAAAAGTTTACGACATTTCTCTGTACAAGTTACAGATAAAGCTCAATCAGAGATATTGTGATTGCTAGCAATATGTATCGAAAAGAATATACCTCATTCAGATGTCGATTCTTGAATTACTAACATATAACTGTCGACCATTCAATATTTATCGAAAGGATTGATCACGAAATAAGAAACGGAAACTTGTTGAAATAGTCTATGCTAATAATTCTATATTGTACCAAGAATAGAATATTGAATAAAGCCAATAATAATAATAACGGATATCGTTTCAATGAAGGTATTCGGTGAAACATCTTAACAATATCTCGATAAAATCGATATGAAATGTTTCTCCTATCCTTTAGATAATCAATTTAGTAGTAATTTTACATCTATCTACCTCTATTTAACATTGATTATTGTGTTCTTTTCGACTATTATCACTTATTTGATGATTGGTCTTCCAGTTATTAATATGGTCTACTTCT